TGAAATGGGCTGCTCGACGAATATGTGGGATTTTCGGATAGTTTGGCTGACTCGAAAGCTCGCAGGTCACAAAGTACGTTACTCAGCTTGCACGACCATTGAAAATGTTTCGTCGAGAGGAGAAACGAGAAGCAATAACTGAAAATAAAAATATTTGTTTTTTGTTTTGTTTGCTTTGGTTTAATTTCGTTTAACTTGCAACTAACCGTTCAACATCCTCAATATCATTCGATTAATGTAATTTCAGTGGAATCGAATAGTGGCGGAGAAAAGGTATTGAACGATGGATTTTCAACGGCGCTGAAAATATTTCAAGGAAACATCGAAAGCTATGCACGTATATTAAAATCGATCCTTGTCAATTTATTCATCCCGCAACGTATTATCGTTAATCAATGTACAAAGTAGTACACAAAGACAGGCGTGCGCAGCACGATCGTTCGATCGCTGGAAAAATGTTTGTCGATGCTTAAAGCTGGCCACAACCTCACCGTCACCGGCAAATCCAACGACTCTAATAGTGACTCGAGCCTTTTTGACCATTAGCCGTTGCGAAATAGGACATTCCTCGGCAACAGCACATCCCCTATATACACTACATAAATTCCCTATGCGGCACCTATAATAATTAAAGAAATTAATAGTTGTTGTTGTTAGGCACACGGAAAGACATCAAGCAGCGACTGGCTTCACTTTGACAATCAACGGTCGTTGATTATGATCCTTAGGTCGGATGATTCGCGAGGGCATCGCATTGGTTGCCATGTCGCAGTATGTATAAAGGACGAGAGCGAGACCGGCCACGGCCACGGCCACAGCCACGGCCACGGCCACGGTCACGTAGATGTAAAGGATGAAAGAGAGGAAGGAAGGAAGTAAGGGCAAGAGTCCAGAGGCCAATTGCCGTCGTCGTCCCCGTTGGCTGAGAGCGCCAAAGAGATCGGAAGGTGATAATGGGGCAGGCGGGACCACGAATATGTATGGGTGGCCGAGAACCTGCTGAAAAACGAAAGTTTCCCTCTTATTATTACGATGGTCGCAGTCATCGGCTTCGGATTGTATTTGGTTTAGCATTGCCTCTACTTTATGTGTACAGGCACAATGGTTAAGACGCCGTATTGGTGGTTCGGGGAAGGGGGTAGGTGGGGATTTCGTTTAATCGCTTTAGTTTTTTTTTACAAGGAGTATTTGTGAGGAGACGGTAAGAAGCTGAAGATTTAAGGCGGCCGATTTGATGATTTTATATTTTTTACGCACAGTTCGGCTGCGCTGTTTGTTAATTGTATAAACGATGTTGAATATGCGCGGCCGTGGTTCGTTGGCTCGATATTTCCTTTGTGCGCCGGATGTTTCAATTGGACATGTCGAACGAGTCTCGGGCGAAAAAGTAGTACGAGTAACCGAAACCACTGCCTCATCGCAAAGACGCGTGACGCTATAAAAGTACGCGAGACGGCAATAAACTTTGTATGTAAATCATAAAAGTATCCTACTAATGTGAATCGACGAACATTGAGAGTCTTGCATTTGGAAACAAAGTATGTTAAATCATTCTGCAATAATAATAATACTAATAATAATAATAATAATAATAAATAATAAATAATAAATAATAATAATAATTAATAAATAATAATAATAAATAATAGTAATAAATAATAAATAATAGTAATAAATAATAAATAATAATAATAAATAAATAATAAATAATAAATAATAATAATAATAATAAATAAATAATAATAATAAATAAATAATAATAAATTTTCTTTATTGTTACGCTGTGTGTAGATTATGGAAAATTATCGTTGTTATTATTGTCGTACGTTACATTGGACAATATCGACACATTTTAAATGCTTATCAATCGTACGTAATTAAATGATTTCTTGGGTGTTTTTTTGGCATTGACGGTGCTTTCGTTGGTCACCTTCTAGTTGGTCAAATATTGTCATTGTTACATGACATCGTCAATCTGCCGTGAATATACGCATTTAATAATTCTAAGGAACGAACGGTTAAGAAAGAAAGTTTTTCCTATTTTAAAAAGCACTTATGATAGTTTTTATTTCCTGAATAATATCCATGCTGCTCTAACCTAATGGAATTCAACGATTTGGAATTCATCAAATTGTCGAAAGTATGAAATTCATTGTCTCCGCAAACACAACGGTAAATTATCTAGATTCTATATCTCTTTGCATTGTCTTGAACAAAACATCATTACACGGACATTCGCTACATTCATCATTTAATGCTCGAATGTTTTGCCGTGACTGTTCTAATCACTTGTACAATCGGCAATAAAAATTAATGCCAAAAACATTATCTTATAAGGACAATTGACGAGTATGCCAGGCAGGGAGGGTCATATTTTCCTAAATTCCATCGCTGAACATTCTTATTGCATATAAACATATATATATATATATGTTTATATATATTCCATGGATTATCGTGGATTATATTTGCAAATATACGAATACCCAATAAACTGAATAAATAGTCCAAGGGGAATAAGTAATTTTTAATAAGAAATAAATCCTCCCTTCACTTAAAACATTTTAATCTACATGTGCCAATAGTTCCACTTCTTCGAATTAAAGAATATTTTTCCGAGCGAATGGTGGCTAACATGTCTTATCATGTTATTTGTAAAATACAATATTTCAAACATGATTCATAATGATATAGACCAGTCATAAGTAATGAAGCACGCTTTAGAAAAGAAAAAAAAAAGAAAAAAAAGGAAAACTTAAATAAGAAGAAAATAAAGATAAGAATTCGAACATGCGTTACCTACTTTTCAAGCGAGCAAAAATAACAAAAATTCTTTACTCCCATATTTCAATTTATCGCTAGATGATGTAAGATGTATTTATGACTAAAAATTAATTAAAAATGCTTAGTGACCATTGTACCGATATAAATGATAGTCACGACACAGGCGGATTTATATCGATGCAACGACATTAAGCTCCAACCATAGTATTGTAATTGCCGAATAAAAGTCTAAATAAATACGTTGGTAGTCCTGGGACATGCGACAAGGAACGTAACTTTGTTAAACCTCATTAACGCTCGTTGGCCGAATAACGGCGCTTTTCACTCGGTTAGACCAGCATTTATTAAGGATAATATCTTTGCTTTGTCGACGAATCCACGTTCGTTAGGTATAATTTTAATTCCCAAATCACATTTTATAAAAGGGGAAAGCGTAAGATCCTCTCTATCGAGAGCATATCACACCATTCCTAAGAAGGAAGTGAAAAAATAAAAAGAGCATCACAAGACTGTGATCGATCTCGGCTCGACGTGCGATCCGTCATTGACGTCGGGAGGATGGATTGGTCGTGCCGGTGGTGCTGTAGCGATGGCAATGAGTTGGCGAAGACGATTGTTGGCTTTGGCTGGCAGTAGGAGGGGAGCAGAAAGGGGGAAGAGAGCGAAGAGGTTAGTACGAGGACGAGGAGGACAAAACGCCGCTCCCGACGTCGACCCGGGATAATCGGTTCTCGATTCGGTGGCGTATCTGACTCCCCCACCCCTCCGCCACCTCCTCCTCCTCCTCCTCCATCACGTCGTCATCATCAAGCCCCAGCCCAAGTCCAACCATAGCCGCCAGATCCGAGCCCCCACCCTCGCACGAACCTCAGTCGCCGTCGTCCCCTCCGCTCGCGGTAAGCGCGATAATCGGCCGACGCGAATCCCCACTTGGCGGGCGGCGTACCGCCTCCTCCCCCCGGGGCGACCGCCCACGGCCGGCCCCCGATCCCCTCCCTCGCCGCGTACCGAGGCTTGGAGCCGATCACGGGCGCCGGTGCCGCCGCCGGGACGACCGAGTGGTGGGGCGTTCGGGGCGTCGGACCGGTGCGATCCGCTCAGACCGCAAGTAGACGCGGGAGCGTGCGCGCGCGTGTCGAACGAGAAGGTTGTGAACGTCGTCGGCCCCTCCTCGCGCCCACTGCCACCGGGACACCGTCGTCAGGCACCGGGAGCTGGATGATCCCATGACCGCCGTCGATCGCCACGATTTTCGCCAGGGCTCCGCGCGGCTCCGTTAGCGAGATAGCGATACAGCCCT